GGTAATCACCTTTTGTGTCTTGCTGTAAAGCAAGGGAAAAAAAATACAATATACATATGAGGAAACAGTCACAAAATATGAAAGCACGTGCATTAGATTCTAAACCTGTGGGACAGACTGTGTTTTGCAGTTGAAGCCCTGTCAGCCTGGAGGAGACTATCTGGACTGGGTTTTACTTATGTGTGAATTGAAATCATTTATCATTCGTGTAATACAAATGCAAGGCCATGAAGGGAGAGGAATTGTGGTATGAGAGCGAGCAACACGAGTAAGGAAAGCTGAAGGACTCGATTCTGTTCTTTCTCACTGATCGCTGCAAAAAAATCATACATCAAGTTCAATATTGTGAAAAGTTGCTTATAATCTAAAGTTGACATATTCAGGAAAAGATTTTGGCTTAAGATTTTGACGCAACTTCATCTACACAAGGAAGAATGCTGTTGTGAGAGTGGGTAGAAGACTGGATTTTAAACAGACACACAAGCTCTTTACCTATGCCCCAAGTTAAATAAAACCTAGTACTGATAGCTCCTGCCCAGTCACAGAAACAGACAAAAATCACTCTAGCTAAAATGGGCACTGAAATGAAAGGGAGCAGCAATTTAGATGTTCTATTTTCATTCAGCAATCACAGAGAAATTCTGTTTTTTCTTTTCTTTTGGTCTGAAGCTAGGGACAGGTGAACAGAATTTTCCTTCGTAACACAGCAGCTGATTGCACAAAGCCTACATACACTGCCAAATGGCTGCCAGGAGTTGTACCAGCTGTAGACTGTAAAGTCAAAGCTGTTTTTTTCAATAGTGCATGGATAATAACTTATTATTCTCATTGCAGCCTCTAAAACACCTCCCATGAATTCTAATGGTATGATTAACCCAATGAAGACTGCTGCAAAGGACCACACAACTGGTACAAAAAGAAAGCTAAAAAACATACCTGGATGAAATAGTAAAGAGATTTTCCATATTTCCTCTTGAATTCACTCTTAATTTTCAGCATGTCAACTTCACAGCGGGAGACCATAATCCTGATCAGAACCTTGTCGCGGGTTCCTTTGCCCTACAAGCAGATACACATTTAGAACTGTAATAGCCAAAATGCGTAAAAGGCCACCACACCTAACGGTAAGACAGTAAACTACAGGCAACTGAGATGTAGCAATAAAAGATACAATGAATTAAACCTTCTAACTAAGGTCATTATTATGATCCAGGAATTTGAGCATCAACATACCTTTCCCATCAGCAGTGTCTGACCAGCTTCCAGTCACAAATCTAGCTACTTAGACTGTAAGCAGCAGTTCTGGTTCACCAGGAAGTCTTCCTGGTATTGCCTAATGACTGTCACCAGGCGTTTCTCTTTCATTCCTTTTTTTGAGAAAGTGTTTAGTGTCTTATTTTGGCACTTCAATAAACAGCTTTTTCTGCTATCAGCTCTTGGTTACCTGCAAAAGATGTGTCTAACTTTGCTAATCATAATCAACTGATCTAACTACAGATCATTATAATGAGACCCTTCCCTATATTTTCCTATACCAAATGCACCTGAATAGATATCTAGGCTCATAACTGTTAAAGAATGCTTTTGAACAATACTAAGTCATTGTTAATTTATTCACATGCCAGTCACACATCATATGAATGAAAGTGCCTAAGGAATCAAAATTTGATGAAACAATGGCAAGAAAAAAATGAGTAGAAAGAAAGAACAGTCTTCCCTACCTTCATGGAATCATACAGTCTGTCTGCAAAGTACAGCTGCTTGTTCTGAATGCACTGGACTGAAGAGAGAGATAAGAATAGTTAAGCATGCTGCCCATACGTGAGATAGCAGAACAGAAAATCTTGAAGCCATTTTTAAAGACGTGATAAGTAGTCAAAATAAGGTTTTCAGCAAAGGTTTCTCCAAAAGGGGACACAGAGAAATTATTTTTACCCAAGTTGTTACTTAGAAGTGGTTTGGCTAAGCTTGTGATTGAACACCACAATTCATTCTTTCACTTCTATAAGCAACCTCTTTTCTGAAAACACTCATTGTATGCTAATCCATGAGAAGTCTCTCTTTCAAGGTTGAGCTCTGTTTATTCTCCATTTGCATTACAGAGCTCTCAGTTCATTCTTAGTCTGAAATGGATTTTCCTCTTAAAGAATTTCCTCTTCAACTTGGTGACATTCCTGTCATCTTCATCTCATGCCACAGTACCAGCCTTACACCCTGCCTCCCCATTTCAGAGAATTCAATGCCAAATCAGCTCTTTTATTAGCCTCTGGCATCCTCCACTGCCTGTCTTCTCTCACACACGCACTCTTCTCTCTCCAGCCTATGTCTACATTGAATACCTATATAGCCTATGTCTACATTGAATATTGATGTGTTCAGCTATAGTTCCAACCTTTTTGTTTGTTTGGGGAAACAAACATTAAGCCTCTGCATCAGACAAAAGTGGAACTAACAACCGATTACAAAACACATGCATTTTTATTTTCATCTGGAAAGCAAGGTTTATATTTTGCAGAGGGCAAAACTATGCTACTTCTCAATACCCATAATATCCTAAAATACACTGGTAGATCAAATAATGCCAGCACTTCCAGTTTCTTTCTCATCCGGCAATGCAGAGGATGCTGGGCCCTATCCTTATCACAATACATTGCAAGAGCACTGAAAAGATCCTATCTAAAGATACTCTTTACTTCACGGTAACTCACCAAGATTAAGGAAAGCATTCTCCAAATCTCCCTTAACCTCCTTCTTGATGCTCTCCAACATATCATATGGGCTGTAGCTCTTGTACCTGTCAAACACTATCACAAGAAAGAAAACAGGTGAAATCAAAATCAGACGAAGAACTGGTAAATGTAACCACCCAAATCAAAAACATAGAGCACGCAATGCAGAGACATACGATTAAAAAATACCTGTCCAAGTCTTTCTGAGAACTTTATCTTAAGTACAGCCTAAGTTAGTCAGCTGATAGTAAAGTTCCTATGCTATGGCCTTTTTGTTTTCCTTGAACACCTCCATAATCTGGTAAAATGCCATCTTAATCCTCTACCAGTATTTTTTGAAACAACAGTGATTTAGGCCCTAAAAATAAAAGTCTTCAAATGGCTTTCCCATGTACTTCTTACAGCAATATCAGAGCTACTTTTCAGAATCTTCGCTGTCAGATTTAAACACATGATATAGCTAAGCTACCCAAGGACAGAGGGAAAAGCTAAAGGACTTCACAAGGTCTCCTGCAGCCATGTTTTCTAGATTTGTAACATTTTTGTTCTCAGTGTACGTGACATATAATTGAGCATTGTTACACCTGTGCAAAAAGAGTTCTATGCACATTCAAACTGAGATTAACAAATCCACACAAATAACTATATTTTTTGAAAAAAATTAACAGCTTGGACATGAATTAAGATTTATGAGATCTCCGATGTTTTACAAGTGCTTTTCACATTAATTTCATTCAAATCTGGGACAAAATAGTTACCACTTTGGTTTAATTTTCTCTCATAGGGAAAAACCAACCAAACAAACCCATCTGTGCCTCGATTAGTACCTTTCTGCAAGTGGGGGACACTTCTTTCAGTCATAATGTTGATCCACTTGGGGACATCAGTTCCCTTTCTCTTCACACCAGCATCATAGAGCTCCTGGGGTTAGAAGGAAAAGCAAAATCATGAAAATTAGGAGTTGCACAAGAAGCCATTGTAAACATATACAATTTCCTTACTGGAAAACAAGCATTACTAGAACTGTGCCAGGGCGCCCAACACAAAAGGACATGATCTATGGATTTAATCTGAAACTAAGACTAATTACTTTGTATTTACCTTTACCTACAGGTTTTACTCTGTATTTAGCTGTGTTTACCTCAGCAGAACTGCTCTCGACAGATACAGATGTAGTAAGACAGATACAGATGTAATAAAGAAGCATTATCGGCCATTAAGTTCATTGACACTTCTCTCAATCTTACACAATTACTTGGTTGCAACCAGTCTTCACAATGTATGTGCTTCCTTTTGTTAAAGGCTCTCTTTATCAATACTCCCAAGGGAAATACCAGAGAGCTTCTGCATAGGTACTAATGGGTAAGTAGCCTGTGAAAACTGGTAACGGAAGGTATCAGGACTGCAAGTGGCAGATAACTTGACAGCATGCAAACATTACTGTGCAAGACAATCTCAAATATACACACCTACTTTCATAAATGCTTCTCACTCTCATAGCATTTGTACTTTCAATATCCCCTAAAGCTTGATCAAATTAAGACATTTAATGGTCATTACCAGCACTTACCCTAGCATCTAGGTCGATCAGCTCATAATCAATCACAGAGGTATCTTCACACCTTTTGCCCTTCAAACAAGGATAGCGGTATTTAAAAAGAGGTTTAATAGACAGTAAGCAGTTTGCTATATGCATATTCTTTTCTCTTTGATTTTTTTTTAATCTGAATTTGCTAAATAAGTAACACTGTGCTCCGTCCCCATTACAAAGCTGCTGCTATGAACGCTGCATTTTTGTCAAAATACTTTGCCCTTCAACATTTGAATAATTTTTTTCCACCCAAAAGACAGTGAGAATACAAGGAAATTTAAAAGTGAGTCAGAAATCCAGTTCTTTTACTGGCAGCCATCAGTTTGTTACCAAAGGGCAGGCACATTAGGAAAAGTGGAAAAATATGAACAGACCTACCTTAGCTAGGGCAACCATTAGCTTGCGGAAGTCACCAGATGTGTCTGATATAATGTCCTTTTCCAGCTCTGTCTTGTACACTAGAAAACAAAAAATTCTTTTCAAGTAAATGGTGTCCTACAAGTGCTCCTTTACAAGAAGAACAGCTGCTAATTAGTGTGGTTTATGCACATAAACAAACAGCTACAATCTAAGTCACATGTAGAAGACAATGAAAACGAACGCATGCTTGCATACAACAAAACCAACATTGCTACCAGCTAGTCATGAGAGTTCCCATGCAATCAAAGTCTGTCATGGAAAGATAACAGTAAAGTCTAGGACTGTTTCAAGGAAAGGAATACTGTTTTAAGCTCGATATCCTGTTAGATCATTCCTAGCTACCAATGAATGCTTGCTTGTTTGATAAACACAGCACTAAAGCCTTCTCCAGTTGTGGATTTATGACTAGACAACTGCAATTACAACTTTAATGCAAAAGACAAAACCTGTTATGATAAATCATAACACACAGAGGAATGTTGTGTGTGATTCTGGTCTGGTGTCTAAACATTTTAATTGCTTTCCAAGTGGTAATACTCTCTAACGCTACAAAATCTCTGGTCTTTTCAACAGCAACCTAATCTACAGCAGCAACATTCTCTTTGCTGATACATAGTATTTTTTTCAATACTGGCCATTACGAGTACATTGGGTTTGCTTGTGCTTTTTGACTTAGCCAGCACCTTATGAGAATCACTTGACAGCTACGAAGCATTAGCACCCAGCAAATTATTACATTTCAGTCTATTTGTGGTGAAGCTCAACTTTAAAGCTCAGATAAACAAACAGGCACTAGACAGCTGTGCTACTGAATTGTGATAAACCCAACCAGAATGGCCAATATAAAAATATAAGGAATATTAAAGAAAAAGTAGTATTTTTTGAGGACTTAGTTCACTCTTGTATCTACTTATTATCAACTAAGAATTATTACTTCAATCAGATAACATGCTTTAGAAAAGTTGAAAAACAGAATATATGCTTTTATGAACTTTTATTTCATGTGTTTTCTGGCAGGTCTACCAAATAAGCTTAGAATCATGTTTCAGTACATTTCAGATTCACCTACTTATCACATAACTGATACTAGAATGCATAACCTAACATCATTCATTCTGTCACTATGCACAGAATGAACATTGCTTACACCCACCCCCCCATTTAGACACAACTTATGAGAGTAGTAAGTGTTCTCCAATTCATTTGCTGCCAAGCAACAAGATGAAACTATATAGACACACACAAATATCCAAGACATCAGCAAAAGATAATATCGTATGTCCAACTGCCAGAGAATCAAAGCAGGTGTGTAAGAGACTCTAATAATCAAATTCACACCGAGGGCAACTTATCCAAGCAACTTAGTGTAAAAGCATAGTACACTGAAACTTTCAAAGGAAACTTACTTTCCCTGTAGACTCTGTTAATTTCACTAAGCTCCTGATTTGTTCGTGAGCAGATGATTTCAATGAGTGTGTCCTCATCAGTTCCCAGACCCTGCAACACATACATGATTCAGTTCGGAATAAGTACTTTGAACTAAGCTGCATTACTACTGTTTAAAAAGTAATATAGGTATTTGCACTATAACAAAATTACGAACCACATCAAAATGTATCAGCTACCAATTAAACCTTATAGTAATTCAGATACACCAAAATAATATGGCTTGATTAATGTCCTCTAAACCTATTTTATATAGATAACCAGCCTATTTTAAAAAGAAAAATTTAAAAATTGCTAACACCACTGCAATACTCTTGTTCCTGGATAAAGACAGGAAACTGAAGGACAGGCTCACAACAGAAGACCAACTTGGATGAGGTGAAGATGCTTCACTGTCCAGTAACCCCTGAGGATGCCTGGATTACTAGTTGGTAAAGCCACCTGGCAGCCAGATACCTCAGTATTTTGAAAAGAAACTTCTTTTTTTTTTAAAAAAAAAAAAAGGCTTCATTGGCATTTTTTTCATTCTGTTTCTTACCTATCAAAGAACGGTGTTCATGCTAATCTCATTAGCCTCAGCTTCCAGCATCACCAGCAGACAGGAAAAACACTCTTATGCCGCCTGTTAGGATGCTCTTTGCTAAGCCCATCTGTAACATAATGTCATTTGGTATGTGGCAAAGATGGGCATGGCTTGCACAGGACTCCAAGAGAAGTCTGCTGGGTAACATCTTGGGAAAACTTCTCAGTCTTACACATTTGGAAAATGGAGGCAATTAGGTGGAAAACTACCCTCTTGGAAAAAGTACTTCTATTAAGGTAAAAAAAATAAAAATAAAAATGGGAGGACTAAACCCAAGTGATTTTATAAAAATGGCTCACAGCTAAGAGAATTAGGAAACTTTCCACAGAGTGGTTCTCATAGGTATCTCAGGAAGAAGTGAAGGCTAACAAAATTTAAGATTTTGTAAATATTTCATAAAAATGTGTACCAGAAAAATAATTACCTTCTCAATGATAACTTTGCTTTACTCAACTTTGAATTCCATGTCATAGCATATTATGTTCTATGTATCAAGTCAAACTTAAGCTCAGGCAAATTCAGAACATTAGACTAGGTGCTTGGGAGTTGGGAATAGCTGACCTACAGAGACAATAGAATATTCTACATTTGTGGCTACTCTGAGGTAACAGCTTGGTCTTTGGGCTGGAACTACAGCATAAATGCTATATAAGTATGTGGTCATCCTAAATATAACATATCAGATGTAAGACATTTAAAATCAAACAAACAAAAACAACAAAAAAACCCAAACCCAAATTACTCTGATTCAGAGTAAATTATTGATAGCCTCTACTTAAGCCAGAAGAGGGCAGCATCCGATTACTCAAAAAAGGGATTTGGCCCATCATTAAAGAGTTACAATCTCTATACTGGGTTGGTTTTGGGGGTTTGGGTTTTTTAGGGGGGAGGGTAGTTTTGTTTGTTTGTTTAACTCCTTTTTAATAGTCTGGAGAAATTAATTAATTGGTTTTTGGTCTTGTTCTGAATTCCAACTGACAAATTTTAATGCTTGTTTTTTAAATATTTTTTAAAAATTAACCTCACCAAAACATTCAGAATTTAAGTGATGACTATAAATACAAATTCCCAAACCTTAGTTTGTTTAGAAAGTTGAATGCAGTGGCATGAGTACCTCTCAAAGTCTCGTGTCAGTGTCCTGCAGAGCAGATATTTCTAAACTAGCAATCTATTCCACGCTTGCCTGTGATTGTAGGGGACTGAACACAGTGACTCACTGCTGCACTGTTTCTCCAAAGACTGCTTTTGATGCCCCATCCTCCTCCTCCTTGTGTTCTACACAGAGGCAGGTGTGGTACAGGATGTTCTTTCAAGACCAGTGATATGACCCAGTAACTGGAAACTACTGTTTAAGTCCATAAATGCCAGCAGAGGATTTAATGGCTCCAGCTAACAGCTGCTCTCCTAATGTTTTTTTGTACTATGAACCTGTAAACTGTGTTTAAGAGCAGTCAGCAAATCAGTTATCCTGACCTGATGAACATTATCTTTTCCTTAAAGAGAGGATTTAATTAACATTTCAAAATCACATGGTTCCAGAATTTCTCTCATTTTAGATGCCTTGCAGCTGGATACTTAAAACTGTAGTACTAAATAATCAGTGGACATGTTTGAAAACTATGGCCTTGGATATGAATTCCATACTCATTCTTGAGACAGCATCATCAGACTAACATACTTTAATTTCAAAGATCATTTACCTTCATGGCAGCTTTCAGTTCAGAGGCATCATACTGTGCTGGTGTCTTCAGCAAGCCCAAGATCACTGCCTCCAAATGACCCGACAGAGCAGATTTAAGCGCTGCAGAAAGTTCCTGTAAAAAAGGAGGTATGATGGAAGAAAAAAATTAAAGCTCATTTCTGATCTCCAGAGAATTCAGCCTGTAGTGCTTTAAGTCTCCAAGCCTGCAACAGTGTTTCTTACACAATTGACAAGGAAACAACACGGAGAGCTTTTCTTTTGTGAAAGCTTAAGAAAGAAATTAGGGCAAAAGAATTTTTTTACGCATCCTTTGAAAATATGAAGAAATCCACTGGTGGCTGACGAAGTGCTGGGAAGCATGGTGCAGACACATCTGAACAGCTCCGCTCCAGTCTTGAAGCACTGATGCTTTGTTGGAGCTAACAAGCACAGATGGATCTGAGTTTGACTCCCTGCGGTCAGTGCTTCTCCATCATACTCCCACAGTTTTCCCAGTAGCACCGTATTATTTGTGTTTTTCCTATTATCCCAGCCCTTTACTAGCTGAGACATCAGAAAATTGACTGCACAGTTATTCCACTGTACAGGCCCAGTTCCCAAGCATCTAGCTGAAAAGAAAAAATTGTCCCTGAGCACAGAAGAATTACCCCTGTCTTCAAGGAAACTATCAGAAGTGTGTGGCCACAGTCTCTATTGTTAATTGTCAGTCAGAGAAAAAGAATGTTCACTTCACAGGATGCATGCAAATCCATAGCAAATAAAGTCAGGGGCATGTCCTCTTTTATGGGTTTCAGGTGCAACTTGAATAATGCTAATATCAGCTTCATTGTAGTGTAGTTACAAAGTTGCAATCCCTGGGATCAAGACTGGGGTTTACACAGATCAATGTATTCCCTAAGCTGAAGTGAAGTCTGTAGCATTCAGAAGAGAATCGCTGCATTTCACTTGCTGGTTTCTACACTGACAATTTGTGAGCTTGAGCGGCAGGGGAAAAGGGGGTAGAGAAAGTGTCCTCAGCAAAACGGCAGGGAAGTTTGTGCCAGAGAGGTAAAGAGCCATGGCACTTAGTTCATTTCCAGAGTCACCCATTTAATCCAGGGCACTAATATATGCTAATACTGTATGCACTTACTGCACGGATTGACCAAAATAGTGAACGGGGGTTTGGGCATCTAGCTGCTTTAGTCTAAGAAACATTTTAGTCCAATAACTCAATTTTGGATACAATGTTCCATCACTTATTTGTGTGAAAACAGGTTTTTCAGACATTAGCTGAAACAGCAAAGATACTGCATATCTTTATAATAAATTTTAGGACAATTCCACGAATTCCAATTAACTGAGTGAAGTTTTTGTAATCTTTGCACTTTGGTGTGAAGGCTATAGAAAATACAAATCACTACAGTAGGATTTACCAAAATAACTGCAACAAAACATCTCAAACTGAACCAAGCACCTGCCCTCCTATTAGCAGGCTTCTAGAGAAATAAAGTCTTCCCCCCCGAGCTACGAAAGCAGCATCTCCGCTCCGCTGTTCTCTGCTCTGGCTAGGAGCACTCTAAGAGAGAATTGGGAAGGAAGCAGACAACTGACAGATATCATAAATTTATAAATAGCAAAGAGAAAAGGTTTTACTAAGTGTTCCAAATGAGCATTTGGATATTAGCAGTCTATTTCAAAGTCAGAGATTATCGGCAGCAGTTCAGACTGACCAGACACACACAAAGACACACGTGCAGAACCCCCAGTATTCACTGGTGGCTCCGTTAACGCTGGTGATGGGGAAAGACTGCATAGATGAAACACCATTCCTCAAGATTACCAGTAGTTTCCATTAGACACAGCTCAACTCAAAGGAGTGAAAATAGACATAAATCTGTGACTTTTAAAATTTATAATGATCTATTTTGAGAAATCCTGCAAAAACCAAAATGAGCAGCCTAGTACAACACAACACATTGCCAAAGAAATCTGCACAACCCGTTGCCAAAGAAAATCATGAGATACTGTCCCCAGAATATATACCTTCATGTCTTTCCAAATACCGCTTCCTCCTCAATTGCCATTCACTTGTTTATTTCACTGAGTGGTTTCTACTGCAAATTTCCATTGTTTCTACAGACTGTTTTGTTCTTTGGCACTTGTTAAATGTGATAAATTCAGTTTGCTCTTGGGTCACAGCAAGGAAAAAAGGTGAGAGAAACATTTACATGAAAAAAATTGCAGATTTTCTTGACTGTGCATTTTTGTGGTCATGCAAAACATTTAACAAAGCTTTAAGTGGCACACTTTACTACTAGGGTCCACTTATATGCACAGTTCTCCCAGTGCCCACACGGCGTGACTGCCAGGGTGCAGACATGTGCACACATGCATGCGTCCAACTTGTGCGTGCTTCTGCATGTACCTCTATCAGCCATGCACAAAATGTGGTGAATTTCCAAAATTTAACTCTAGATTTACATTTGGTTTCAGATGAGCATTCTGGGCTGATACTGGAGAACTACCATTTGGGGTCTGGCAAACCTGAAAGAGATACATTGATCACAATCCTAACTCTGTAAAAGTTTCCTCTTTTTTGTGGGCATAAAACTTCAATTATGGTAAGATTCTCAAAACTTCAAAAGTCAAGAGAACAAATCTTGCCTTCCAGATAGCAAGACTCATTATGCAGAACTCTGCACATATTTTACAGATTTCTCTCCATCAACAGATCAGTACCTCAGGTATTTCTGACAGGGTAATATCTACTGATAGTTCAGCTCATTATATCACTTTATTACACATCTGCAGCGTTTGTAGCACAACTGACTGCAGTCTTTTCTCATCTAAGCTAGCTCTGTGAACAGAAATAGAATACTTTCCTTACGCTGAGCTGTCTTAAAAAAAAATAAAGAAAAAAAAAATCAATCCTCTAAGCCATCTCCCTTTCACCTTTTTGTTCAAATTGAGGCATATCATGTCAATGGATTTTCACTACTATTTAGCACATTACACCAGGGAATCCTACGGTTAGCTGGCTGGAGGTGCTAGGAAACCACCGTCTCCAACAGCTTTCAGTCAAGTTGTACATACTCAACAAATCTGGAAGTCCCACCAGTCCTAAACTGTGACTGTATGGACAAAGTAGATGCATCTTTAATTTCAAGGAAAAGATAAATCAAATAGTACTTATCTCCAGTTTACACCCAGTTAACTGTGAAACACACAAGCCCTGAAAAATCTAACTGTCCAAGAGAAAAGCATTCAATACTTGGTATTTCTTCATATTTTGCTACCTTTTTGGTTCTCCTCTGATAGGCAAAAGCAATATCCTGCCTCTGTTCATTGCTGCGGTTTGTCAGGATGTTGATGATGGTGACCTCATCCACACCTACAAAGACATAAGACGAAGAGTTAAAGAAACTTTCTTGCTACTGTTCTTTTGTATTAGTATGTCCTCCGACACTCTAAACATAGCATATGTGCTGTCTGGAGCAGAGCTCAACAGCTCTCATTAGTTAGTATATGTCACATCCTGGCCTTGGACACAGGGCAACCAATTACAGCCCAAATTTTTGATGTGATGCAGATCTTTGTGTACACAGGCATGCATACACCTCAACAAAGTCTAGATTGTGACCAGCTTCGCTACTTCTGTTTTCTGCTTCACTTGTGTGTTTGTTTACTTGTCTTCAGCCATTCAATATTCTGCAAAAAGTTGCTCAAGAGTACAGGCTTTAAAACTGACATGAACCTGTACTTACTAAAGCCTGCCCTGCCATTTCGGTAGAGTATTTTCAATTAAAGCTTCTTAATAAAGTAGTTATATTTTCTATTTAACCCATAGACACTTAATTATCACTCCAAACATAAAACCGGGAAAATAAAATAGTATATTTCGTTCTCTCAGCAGCTCTGAGTCTCAGAAGACAGAAGGGGTTTTTGACAATGGAAGAACTATGTTTGTGCTACTTTTTTTTTTTAAATCATCACTTGAAGATTCATGCTGAGTTTTAACTAGCATGCCTAGAGGACCTGGATGCTCAAACTCCCAACCTATCTTTCAAGTAAGTGAATTATGTATCAGTAAAGGTTTAGTTTTAAGTGAAGTTTTCCAAATCCATGCACTTAAATGCACCTGCAGGCTGAATGCAAGGAGATCATTAAGATTTATTCTAAGTTAGAAGCCAAAGCATGCATCTAGAATTAGATACTCTGGCTGTCAATAGAACCTAATGCACACCACTTCTTTAGCTCCTGTAGGGGTCATCAATGCAGGCAATGCATATAGAGCTTTTATGTTGTAGAGGAAGCAGGATTTCAAGATGTTATTTCCTAGATACAGCTACATGCTAGTCTATGTTCTTTTCAATGCAGGCAGCATCTTGTGACTTTTCCACTTGCTCCTGCTTACTGCTACTAACTTGCATTCAGATTCCCTCTTGTTTTCCCCACTTCACTTGCTGCTTTCAAACTGGATTCTCCTGAACTTCCATTCTTTGGACTGGCACAGTTCTTCCTGTGATGACAATTCTCATCCACAGCTTGGTCTCTGCAATTCAAAAGATATCCTAGAGCCTAGTTGGACTGGAGGCTCTTGAGCTTCTTGAGCTCAACCTGGAGCATCTGACTTATCTCTGTATCCTGTGATAGGGCTCTAACCCACTGGACATACAGTTACCATGCCCTGCAAACATCCACGTCTCTCAAAGAGCTCTCTGCAAGGACAGCTACACTTTGTTTATTACGTCAACAGAAGAAAAATCCAAACAAGCTGTATTTATATTCCTGTAACTAAGCATTAAATCTATATTAAACCCTTTCTTTTACTATGAAAGCTTATAGAAACAGCCCTTGCAAGCACCCGGTCTCCATTACTCAATGGAAAATCTTTAGAAATGCAAGCCCCTCTGCCACAAGGTAAAAGAAAAGAATTGTTAGCAACAGAAACAGAGCAGCCAGGGGGCAGCACGGGAGAAGGGGGGGAAAAGAGTTGCAGAAACAGATAAGAAAAAGAATGTGGCACACTGACACTGAATGTATCTGAACAGAACTGAAAAGGTGTACTTAATCAAATGGCAGATGGCTGAAATTTCCCAAGGCCTGGGTGAGGACACACTAGCTTGCTCAAGTAAAATCTCATTTTGAATTTAATTTTCTTACTCTGTTTAAAATACCAAACACAACTGTGTTTTTGTAGGACAATTATAATCTTTTTCTTAGAATGCTTTGTAAAAAGATAGAAGTGAAAGAATTTGAGACCCTTTCCCCAATTCTCCAATGCTTATTTGTGTCTGTATCGCTGAATTCAGCCCCTAGGTAAAATGTCTGTTTGTATTTCCTGTACATTATTGGTTAACCAAAGCTGTCTGGACATGCCATTCAAACACAGGTGGAGAATAACAGCACAGCTGGAAGTACTGTCCAGATAATAAAGTCCTCCAAACAGAATGGCTAGCATAGCTTATAAATGGATGGACAGAGGAGCCAGCTAGCACAGCTCTCATTGTTACACTTAAATATCAAGCTAAAATATAGCTATGCTGTGCAACTACTTGTTTTGGACTATTTTCAGACTGACTGGATGAAGCTTAGAAGAGGAAAAACTATTTCTAAATATTGCACATCTGATACAGTGCATATTCTTCTGCAACAGAAAGATAATGTTTAACTAGTTATTTTTTTCTGGTGAGTTGCATGCCAGGTTTTGAAGCAAATAGGTGGCTCTAATCTAGAGGTTGGGATAAGCCCAGAGTTTCAACTTAAGTCTCTCCATTTACTACAAGTGTTATGAATAGCTTTTTTCACATTTGCACACACATCAGTGTAAATGATGATTTCTGGATAAAAAAAAAAAAAAGACCAGAAAGTAAGAACTGGATTGGTAGCTACTAGCAGGACTCAGTTCCCCACCAGAATCCATCTACATTTATTTTCCTTATTGTCCAAAGCAACTTCACAGCAACTTGAAACAAAGAACTGTAACAGATACTGTAAAATTAATCATATAAAGCATGAATGTTGCAAAAGACCTTTCAGCCCCTAGCTACAGAATCTAAAATGATGAGTCAAATCCAAAATTCCTTTCTCCATCTTCACCACATTCTTCACAATGAAATACTGTACTTGAGCCCCATGTCCTCAGCTCATGCTGAGGCAGACCTACATCAGTGTTCTTATTCACACAAGCTTGGCCTGCAAAAGCCAAAAGGCCCTGGAAAGCATCATATGGCTTAGTTACAAATTTTGGTTTGAAAACACTCTGACTGCACACTTCAGCCACAATCTACTCCTACACATTAAGTGTTCCCATTTTATAAAAAAAAAAAAACAACAAATTCCCCTAGTCCAGAAAGAGCCACAAACAGACAGACACACAGATATCGGGCCTTTCAGCTGTTGCAGGGCCACAGCATAAGCCAATGTCTTAAGCTTTTTAATAAATTCTAAATTTAAACTATCCTTGGCGTTCAAAACCAGCAAATGACATTTTCAAGTTTTATCACAATTGTGATAGATTAGAAGCCCACAAATGACTCCATCCAAGTTTCTTATTCATATGCTTTGTGGATGGAAATACGAAGTAAACTCATTGCTCTGGCATTTAGTGGAAAATAAGTGCTTGTACTTCACACTTGGGAATCGTGCTGCATGGACAGGATGCTGACTCACATTTGCTGAGGCAGGGTGGAGCAGGAGAGCAGCTCAAACATTTTTCTTTGCTGTTCACTAAAATTTCTCAAAGTTTCAGGGTAATGAAACAAAAGTTTATTTCCAAATTTACTCTGGCTGGGCAGATTTTATCAATCTATCAATGAGCATTTCTATCAATGGGCAACTGAAAATTAGACATTGTGGCTCACAATTTCTTTTAAAAACAAGAAAGTTCCTTGCAGATAGAAATGTATTTGATGGGGGGAGAGGGAAGTAGATCTTAAAACAACCAAACAACACCCTCAACCCTCTGATTAATAGCAACTTTTCTTCTAAAAGAGGCAATCTGTTGCATTGGTAAGATCACAGTATTATGGCTCAATCAGCAAGGGGGAGGAAAAAAAAAAAAAAAGAGGAAATTAACTTAACCAAAATGATCAGTTAGAGTTTTTGAATTTTTGGTTTAAAAGACACCATACTTGAATTTCCATCGGCCAAAACAGCAGCACCAGCACTGTTCTGAACAAAATGGACAATATGGACAGTCACTTAACTTTCTAGGACAAGATGAGAACAGAGCTAAAGTACTTTCATTCAGCAAGAGCTGGCATACATTCATTCAGCTCATTTACCAGAAGCCTGTTCTCTTAAACTTAATTTTCAAAGACAGCACAGACAGAATACCAGAAGCTATTTCTGTCCTAACAGCATCTAGGTACTACAGAGATCATCAGTCTACATGAATGAACAAAACGGGATTGCAGGCCTCAGATTACTAGTGGGAGATGTACGTGATTAGCCCTTGTGAGACCTCAACACCATCGTGTATCCGGTACCAATACAGTCCTAGGACTATTTGACTGAGCTTATGAGCTGCAGTGTCTGCAAGTCTGCCTTGCATAACACTGATCCCACTGGAGTCAAAGGGAAAAATTTAGATAGAGTAAGACTATAATTTCAGTTCTGCTATTTTGCTTAGTAAGATTTCACGAAACCCAAACCATGTTGCAATGAGATGTTTCTTTACTGATACTATTAACATTCTGAATATGTAACTGATGCAGTTTGGTGAATTTTAGACACTATCCTCCCCCACCAGGATGTGAGCAGATTTCCTCTAAACTTTTGCTTCCTAACATTAAAAACTGTTAAAAGGTATGGGCGTGTTGGATATACTATATAAACAATGAATTCAGTCTTACAGAAGACCCCTGTTATGGTTTACACCTCATAATTGTTTTACCAATTTCAGGATATAATGAATTTATTATAGATGTATGCTCTAAGCACTTTCCTATAACAAACCTGTGTTTGAATTCTGCCAGTCATGGAATAAAAAAGTATACCGTGAGACCCCAAAAGGTTGTGGTTTAGGTTGCAAACAATTGACTATTCACAACCTAGTCTGACAATAAAATTATTTAACAAAGTATTTGAGACACACAAAGTCAGGATGCTAAGGAATAACTCTGAAACAGAAGAGAGACACTTCAACAGTCTCCTTCCCTACAGAGGATTAAAAGCAGATTAATGTATGCTCTGTTAGCACTCTTCTAGTAGTTTCTTCTATTTAGGCTCATATACTTGAGCTAATCTATACATGGGACACAATGGAACATTACACAGAAATTAGAAAACCTCAGCAAAAAGCCAATATTTACAAAGGACACGCTAAGGCACTAGATGAACTTGCTACAGAAAAACTAAATAGCCTAAAAATGAAACTGGCACAGCAATGACAATTACAAAAGGAACAAGCCAGAGCTGCAACAAGTTATTTGCATTATGCAACCTCTAGGTTGAACTATTGTAAATTACAAACTGCTTTTATATCATCGAGAGCCATTTCTGCACATCTCCCTTTCTAGGCTGTTGGATAAATATAACCCCCCCTGCATTTAATTCAACTCCACTCAAAGCCCAAAGGGCTGGGCAATATATGTGTGTGGTATAGTTGTTGCAGATAGATCTAAGCCCCAATAAACACATCACAGTATTTCCCACAGATCTCACAATAGATGGCTAACCTCTGAGGAATTAATCTGAAGAGTGTGAATGAATGTAGGAATATTTAGACATTATTTAGAGCAGAACAGTCAGACACTCTACCCCAGGTCTTTGCCCTAAAACAAATATATGGCTGTTGTTTAGCCAGTAAAATAAAGTTTTACCCATTTTACACACACAATCACCAAAAGAGAGAGTCATGACTCTCATTCAGGGAGTTTGCATTACTGCGAAACAGCTGAATAATTAATTAGATGGTAACTTTTCACAACTGTCCGCTCTGACTGCAAATACCGTACTTGCATATTGTTTATATAAAAACACAGAAGGTATACCCAAATGATTTTTCCCAAATACAAGACTCCATAGGATATAATTTCCATAGTACTGCTATAAAGGATATAATTTGAAAGACTACTTTGATGACTGTGAAATACAGGCCCATTAGAGCATGTAAAGACCTAGATTTTCAAAACAAAGCACAGGCATGTGCTTCAGATACCAGGAGTCCATTATCCTGCGTAGAGTAAAGCCCCTAAAATCCTTGGGTCTTATGTCCATTTTTTTTGAAACTGACCACCTCTACTACAAAAAGAGCTTGCGAATGTATTTATAACCTGCCATATCTCTCTCAATGTATTAAAACAAGATGAACAAGTCATTCATTCTTTACAATTCTATGATAACTTACATCGCTTATTTCTACCTTCTGCATACAATGCAAACTAATTGCTAGAGAACCAGTGATACTTCCTAGGAAAAAGGTAGCTGCTGTGGGTATGTACTGTTTGGTCATTATAAGTGTTATATTTTTAGCTCAAAAACTACTAATATATTTCCCAGAAATATTTTCAAATGTTTTCTTGTGGAAGAATTACCCTGTGTAGCTGTTTAAATCACTGTTTGTAGAAAACTAATTCTTGCCTGGATGATTCAGAATTTTCATTTGGAAAAACCCCCATATATTTTAGAGAGTTTGCATTTTAGCTGATTTTCTGAATTAGCAGATGAAAATATCCTGCAACCAAGCATTTGAAGTGCAAGGAAATAGTAACTGGGAAAAGGGTCCTAGCACTCTTGTTCTTTATTTCCCCCAGGAATACTTCCTTTGAGAGAGTCTTTGTGGTGGAAGATTCAGCATTAAAACCATACAGAGAATCTCCCCTTTAAAGTCACCTTCCCAAAAAAGCTCCTGGATAACAACCTAATAAGCAGAAATAAGCTCAATCCTACAAACATGCAGGTCCACGAATAACTTTCCCTATTACATGTTTAAAGGGTTGGGAATCACCTCTCTAATGAAATGTTTCCATGTATCTTAAAACCAAACTCAGCCAACTGCTTATCTTTGCTGGAAGAAATTAAAAAAAAAAACAACGTGAGGTTGATTTTCCTGACTGGAAAAGCTTTTGTACTGCCTAGGATATTGCAGTTTCCTTTTGCATTAATTAACAGCTTGAGTGTTAAAATGTGCATATTTGTACCCACCCTGACAGTATATTTGACATGTTTAGATTTGCCCTATAATCAAGAGCTGTAAAAAATTAAGTCTAGACAAAACTCTGCCAAATACGATGACATTTACTCCTCTCTTGCAAAATGATTTTTTTTAAAATAAAAGCAAACCATGAAATAATTCAAAATCAGAACTGAACCTACTTTAATGAGAAGACAAGGGATTTGTCCAGTTAAATTAAGAAACCTTGCGAAAGAAAGCCTCATGCTTGTTAGGGAGGGGCAATATTTAACATTTTATAGCAAGTCAAACATGTGCTTTGTTGGCACCGATGGAAGACTGCATTTCTTTCTGATGAAAAACTGTTTGGATTTTAAATTTCTCCCTCTCCTGACATGCAGGGAAAGACTTGGCAGTTCCAGCTACACCCAGCTGTTGCTTCTGTGGCCTGGAAGAAGTCTGGAAAGCTTGGTACACCCTTTCTTTGTTACAGAGCAGGACAAGGACAGAGGATCACTGCCCTGGGAGTACCACCAAGGTATTACTCCAGAGCTGTGGTTCATACTCCCTGTACTCCTGACTGCTTCAGTATACCAGGTTTTCCCACACAGCTGCATCTCTCCCCTGCTCCATGAGAGTCTCCTACCAGTCAGTGGAAGTGGTAGATCCTGACACTGATATAAGGAGGTGGAAGCCTACCTGAGAGCCTGGATCAGAGAAGCAGGAGACTCATTTTGCCCTGCTCCTGAAATACTGCAACATCATTTCAGAAACTAGATTCTGTTGTTTCTAGGACTTTCTTTCACTACAAATTAATATAAGATAGATGAGCATTTAGTTCAAAACCCAGGAGAAAAATGTTCAAACCATCCCTATTCAGCTGTCTGGAGAGCTGAAAGGAAGAAGAAATGTCCAATCCAATAATCCAGTAGAAATCCATGATTCAGAGCTTGGTCCCAAATCACTGCCACAGAAGTTGACACTTCATTCTCAGTGGCAGAAAAGTAGTAGAATTTGAAGTACTGATGAGTCAAGAGAAAAAAGTGGACATTTTCAGTAATAACCTCAACAACTCTACTACAAACTTCAAAAGCATATTCAAAGCAAGCATTTACAGAGTTCAAAATATAACTCTGTCAAGTTTTCATCAGTGAAGTCTGAGAAATTCCAACACCTCCTAAAACAGGTATTCTAGAGTAAGGATATTAAAACATTGGTCTTGAGACACAGTCCCCCCCCTTTTTTTTTTTTTTTGGCACACCAACATACTACTTTACATGTAGAATCAAAACCACAGCCCACATTCCTCACCTTTGGTCTTGATGGCTGTTTCCAGGGCTGCAGCATCCCGGTCAGCATCAAAATTTGAGTAGGCCTTAACTGTGGCATATGCACTTGGTGGGAGAGAATGCTAGAAGGAAAAGAAAAACAACCTCAAAGTTAAATCATGTAATCCTGTCCTCTTTGCCATTAACAAAACACATGCCTCTTGGTTACCTGGTATATAGCCAAATTTTTAAATACAAGAACTACCATCGGGTATCTGTGAAAACGGAATTCTGCTAAGAGCCACCAAACTCTGTTCTCCTGATGTGTATCGTCCAGAAATCCACTCAAAGCCATGATTATTGTAACAAAAAATATATACAAAGAGATATTACATATTATTGCAGCAAAAAAAACTATAACACATTCCAACTTTACTCACTAAACCTCAGTCTTCTAAAATCTGGAGTTTTCTGTCTAGATCTGAAGGAAATTGACAACAGAAAGCTAATTCACAGAAAGTTTAAGTATCTGCTGTGAAAGTCTGAAGTGGTTTAGATTTGAAGTCAATACTTTGGATCACAGGCTACTTAATTAAAATAAAAAGTAGACAGAGGTGGAAGATTAACAATGAGTAAGTTAGAACACGTTTTGTGCCCTATCTCATGGACTTTAAAAGTAACAACAACAACAAAAAAAAATGAAGCCCATAGTTCTAGAAAGCAGAAGTTACTCAGAATCACCTTTTGAAAGTCTATGCCTGCAGATACTTGGTTTAAGCAGTAGGAGGCTAACAAAACCAAATGACATTTCAAATTACCTCTGCTAAGAATAAGAGGACTTGCGGGTAAGTTCACTTAGTAAACAGTTGCAACATTTCAGAAGTTACCACGTTTTATCAGCTGTTTATTATTGTCCTCTCCTGAGGATTACAGCTTCAAACAGGAGGTTATCAGAATAGAAATTCAACTCTTCTCAGCAGCTTCATTGTAAGCTAACAGTTTATCTTGTATCGCCTCCCATGGGCAGGTTAAACTAAACCACAGATTGTCATATAAATAGCTGAGAAATATTCACAAATCCCACTCCACTGAGTTCAGTTTAGAGATGTAAACCTCTGGCAGAAAGGTGCAGTGACTAACACCCGAAATTGCCATAGCGGTTTCCTAAGTGAATGAACAACTAAGCTTTCTTGGTAAAGATCCCCAGAAACTTTTTTTTCAGTCCATAACTCCAACAGAAAGCCAGGTTCACAAACAGGACTAACCTATCTTTATGTCGCTGGAGGATCTTTTTACATGCAAATTGTTAAAAGAAGGACAAATTTTAACTAAAAAATTCTGTGGTTTTCGACTACATTTGACTCTATCCTGTAGAGGTCAGTCAGACTGTCCTGAATGGATTCCTCTGGCGGCAACCACTGTGCCTTCTTGAGACAGGCTGTGTTATGCTGTGGAGATGGGAAGTCAAAAAAGTGCTGATAAACTGTACTATTTTTTCTTTTGTCTCTTACCATCAGCTCAATCTAGCAAAGTGGCCCCAGTTTGGCACACAGCCACACCACAAAACACAGCCTCTCCTGTTAGCAGATCAAATTGCTAACAGAAACAGTAAATGAAGATGTGCAGTGCAGCCTTGGACAAATCTGTGTGCCTGAAAAAATCCTAAACCAAAGCCCATTAGTACACAAAATCATGTGGCACTTCTATCTAATTAACCATCCCCACTGGATAATCTGAAGCAAGTCACCTGGTGAGCTTAGAGTGGACTACCACTCCTTCCACTCAGCTCTAAGTGCTTTCTGAGTCATTTGGACAGAGTATTTTACTGTAAGATGATATCATACACCGAGAAAATACATAGCATATTTGGGAGACGTCTTTTCCTCTGTCCTTCCACCCACCCAATGTATGCAACAAGTTGGATTCAGATTCCCTGACACCGGCTGAAAGACCCAGGAAGCGCCATGTATGTATGTATACCCAGGAAAGACAGAAACCTTCTGCTGGCTACTCTACCAGTAAACAGACCGTCTTCAAATTCAGCATCCCCAAAGACCATGCTTTACTCTCTCAGGTGACTGTCTTGAGTACTTCAGTGAAGTAGATACAGGTCTCACCAGGGTGATTATTCTGCCTATGAAAAACAGCCATTTAAACTCCAGACTATATGGTCTCAAATTACTCTGGTACAGTACTGTACCACAGTACCCGTACAGAGTGCTTTCAGACAAGAGAATTTTTCCAACTGACTTTCCATTTAGTTCAATACAAAATTTTCCAGGATGTGGCAGTGTAAGTTCAGCTAGTGTGTAACTGCACAAGCAGTCCGGGCCAGACTAAAGCAGAGAAGGATTATTTTTTTCTCCCCGCATATCTAGCATGCTTCAGAGGTCCTCCAAGTGGTTTACTTCCTCTGAGCCTGATTAATTCAATACTATCGTGAAGATCAGAACATGAGGCACAAGCATACATCACTAACAGGAAAGCTGAAGAGGTTTCATTTCTTCTAAAAAAAAAAACAACAAAAAAACAAAAAAACCCCAAAACACCCAACCACCCCAAACTCTTTCAAGGTATCTACATCTCAGTATTCTCTGTCCTCAAAAAACCTCATCAGTCACGTTTGAAAACTGAGTAACTTGACATCATCCAGCAAGTAAGCTACAAAGTCTTGACTACGATATAGGCTTCCAATTCTCAGTGCAAAGATGGAGCGTGTGATGAGGCATACAGCAAGATCTTTGTTACGGAATGTTTCTATACTCTCTTGTGGATAGATGCAGACTGCAAGCATAGATTAACTTCAGCACAACTCCCTCCTTTCCTTAAAGGAAGGAGAAGATGATATGAGGCTGAAGCCAGCAGGCCAGTTTCTTTGTCTTGAAACAAATCAGTCATTATACCACTGATGCAGAACACACAAATTCCTTAATGCACAAGACAGGACTCGCGTTCAGCTGCGACCATGCTATACCCTCAAGGTTAAAAACTTAGGATCTACAGAACAAACCAGCTGCCTGATATTTCTTGCACTCCATGGCAGGATTTCTGATGAAAATGCTGGCATGGAACAGTATTCAAATTTGACTTTTGCAACTACTCGCAAGCATCATGGAAGAAACAGTTCTGCCCTTGAGAACAGATTGCTCCAATACTATTCCAAAAGTAATTCTCAGTTGAAAAAAACACGGCCAAGAAATCTCAAGAGTTGACTGCTTTTGCAGTACAAAATCAGCTTCGCTACTTACCTACAGTAGACTAGCCAGTTCTTTGCAACAGCTCTTTCACAAAGATCATATGGTATAATTTATTTTGCAACAAGTAACAAAAATAGGCAAAAAGTTTGCTTGTACTGAGCTCAGATCTGGAGTTACTAGCTCTAAAATTTAAAAGTATAGCAAGTTTGTAAGCAACGTGATGAAGTAATGCATGATAGGATTCACTTCCTCTTCAGTGACAATATCAGAACCAGAAATTCATGACATGATAACCTGACACTACACTGGTAACCCTACCATCTAATGCTGCAATGTAAGAAATCAAACAAAGACTGTAGCTTTCCAGTATTTCAATAAAAATATCAAGCAAGTGCAGATGTGGTGGAAAATAGACAATCAAAACCAAACTTCTTTTCTCATTTTCTATCCTGAAAAGTGTAAAGAAGTTTGAGAAAATAATTTTTTTCAATAGGTAGTTTGGTTTTGATGACAACTATTACGGGAATATTATCCCCAATAAGTAATGTTCTCCATTTTTAATTGGAAAAAAAAAGAAAAAGAAAAGAAATCTTGGAAGATACCAGCAAAACCAAACACATTTCCATTTTCTCTTATTGCCCTTAACTCACTTGTTTCTTTGGAAGAAAGAGCGACCACAGATGCAAGCAAGCCATTCAGTTTGTCCTGTGATCTTTCATATGGCCCAGCACATGAACACTGCTCACGCTACCGGCCAGTTAGAATTGTCGTTAAATCTAGTCACCTCATATAATCATCCTATGGTTTACAGCTGCTTTGTGGCTGAAAACTGATCACTGCTGACTAGGTTTTTACTCAAGTTAAAGTAGAAGAGATGTGTGGAATCTTGTAAACTGTACAGCTCAGTACAATTGTTGGTAGAGTCCTGTAAAAGAAATAAGATGTGGCGTTTAAGTAAACCAAACTTTTCTTGTTTAGATAATAATACTTACATCTCCTTCAAGGCTGAGCTTGCTTAAAATTTCATGGACAGTAGTCATCTTGAAAGAATGCTGGAAGAAGAGAAAAAAAAAACACAAAACAAGTAGATTTAAATATATTTACAATTACCTCAGTGTGCTATGTACTCCTGAAACACTGCAGCACTGAAAGTGACAGTCCAATGAATCTGCTAATCCCAAGCAAGAAAGCAGATTTAAGAGTTTCCAAGCCACACCACTATCAACACTGCAACAGTGAGAGGTCTTCATTTTCTTGTAAAATAAAAATTTATCTTTACTCCTTAAAAATAACCCACCACATTTCTTCTGCATTTTAAATACTTAAACTTAGGAACTGGAGAATCTCTACCTTATAAACAGAATCAACTAAGCCTACAACTCAGTACTGGGAAAATTGTGCAAAAACATTAGAGCCTGGTCCAGCTCAAAGTGAAAAAGCAACAAGTAGCAGCATTTAAATCAGATGCTCAATTCCTCAAGTACTTGTGGAATACATTGAAACTATTTATATTCATGTAGATACTTTATAAAATCATAATGCTGTTCAGTTTTAATCCTAGACACAGGCCACAAATGCCTCTAATATCATATGGTTTTGTAGCAGCTCCCCAGCAATATGAATCACAGAACAAACTACAAACACCAGTTAGTAACATGACTGTCAGATACTAGGTAACAAGGACTCTCTCAAAATGATAGCTCCAAAAGTAAGAGCCATTGAAGCAAGGTAATCAATATAATTGCTCCATTGCCAGAACCTGCATAACATTTTGCTAACATATATAAAGAAAAATAGGGTAAACCCCAACCCTCGGATGGTTTGTACACAGTGCAGAAATGAACACTGACACAATATGCTTATGTTACAACGCTCTAGCTTTTTTTCAACTCTGGTTTCTGGTGAGGGAAGTTTGCCAGAGCTGTATTACTGTTTTACTGGAAGGGTCTCTCAACTAAGGAGGAAATTTTTTCCAAAGGTTATCAGGCAGAGGCAATATTTAAGAGGCTGGATGCACTCCCAAAACTCTGCTCTCAAATTCCTCTATTGAAAGGACAGACATTGCCCCTCATATTACTTTCTAGTCATCCATCCAGGTTGGCATCTGCAGCAAACATTATTTTGCCTGTTGAAATTAAAGCTTGTTTCTCAGGAACTCTACAATCAAGTGGTAGAGATAACATTATCTATCAGGGAAAAGAATTGGCTTGATGAGAGGCAGGAGAGAAAGGACAGCAACACCTCAAGCCCAATGACGTTCCACTAACTGATAGCTGAGCCTGGAACCAAAATTGCACTATCTTCAGCCTCATTGGGTGTCACTCCCTTCACTTCCACGATGTCCCTGGTTCCCCCACCCCAGCTCCCAGATAGCATGCCCTCTGAGCCAACTCCCCACTATTGTGCAAGCCAGTCCTGGGTATGTCCCTTCTACACGTTTTCAGATTCTTTTTTATCCTCCATCAGTCACTCTTCTGATGGTATCAGGGCTTTCTCAGGCAAGCACTATTAGCCACCCAGGCAAGTTTCCCAGACAAATCAAACTCCTCTCCACTCAGTGATCAATCTGATACCAAGAGCTCAGAGAACCAGCAAGAGCTGTAAGACAGTTTCTTAATAACGAAGATCTGGTTAAAACCCTAGAACAAGTGTTTGGTTTTTGTTCTAGCTCCTGTTAACCTCCTGTACATGAAAAGAAAAGCAGAGAAATCCTTACTTTTAACATATATAGCAAGAGTTATGAGAATAAAACACAGAAACACAATTACATGGCTTTTGTAGTTTAACTGCTGTAATCACGCCTTTCCTCACTTAAAATACAGAAAGAAAATCTTTCATCTTCTGAAGCAACCTATGTATAAGTAACAAAAGCAGCTTTACTTCAAGGAAAAATTAAGATCCCAGGGGAGAAAAAATAAGACAGGGAATTAAAGTCACAGTCATGCATCAATTTACTTGAGAATAAATCTTTTTCAGAGCAAAAATCCAACCCAGCCCTTTAAAGATGCTGCAGAAGTTGTAGTAAACTGCTACCTGCTATTGGCACTATTAACCAGACTGGTTAGAGGGGGATGATACGTTACTGAGCTATGAAACTCTTAATGTTTACTCTCAATAAAATGAAGTGCCTTAACAATGAGACCTTTGTACTCTGACAGTATTACAACCAATACCAAGTCCTTTGGTCTTGCTTGTCACAAAGAACTAAAAAACACCAGTGAAAGCTGAAGCAAAGCAATCACAGTATAGTCTTCCACAAAATAATCACTGAACAGCTTTTTGGAAGACTTCTGTTTCTAAACCAAGTAAAAACCACATTGAATCAGGCTTGTTGGAACAAAAAACTTGAACAGAGTCCAGGAACAGAACTAACACACCCTCACGTAGAGCTGGAACTGGGAGGTTCATATCATCAGCACACAACAATGCTATAGCAGCAGACAGCCCATCAAAACCAAGCTGACAAGAGAAAAAAAATGGGAGTTTTTGCAAGAATTTTTGCAGAGGAAGATCTTTACTCAGAGAACAAACACATCTCTTGTCACACCCTGCTTTGTAAGGCACTCATATTCGAGAACAGGCTCTCACTGTTCTCTGATGGACTGATTTTATCTGATGTAGTTTTGACAAGTAATGGGTGGGTTTGAACATGTAAATAGAAAATACTTGCACTAACTTGTTCTTCCTTACACTGGAAAAGAATCAACGTCTACCTTCCAGCTGTAAACTAATACTTCAACACCTTAAGGCAAGTTTCTACAACTGGTTTTCCTCCTAAATCCACATTATGTAATCCTGACTCATAATGTTATTCTACCAAAAGAGATAGCATCTGTTTTGACCTCAAACCCCGCAGAAATCATTGGTTTGCAAATCTGTTATTATATTGGGCCTTGTCTGTATTCAGTACCTTATCCCCATCACTGTTTGGTGACAGAAGAGCGCATATTTAAAAGCAGCCCCATATCTCGATTCCTGGGGGCAGTTCATGTATGTTACAGCAGGAAAAAAAACACCCATGCAATCCATGGAAAAAAGTGTCAGGTATGCACAAACAACTACATTGCTCAATAAGCAGAGTTAGCATTTATTATACTCTTGTAGACAGAGATTGAGCAAGGGGTGTTCCCAGACATCTGAGCCAAGGAAACGGCATCCCCGGAATGAGAGAATGGAAACTCTTTCACTTGGAGCACATTTGTGTCAGGTCTCCAAAAACTAGGGCAAGGCATGGCAACAGAGGAGATGAGGGACAGCGAGGAAGATCTGCAACATCTGCTGTAAATGAAATAAGCACTCAAAAACCAATCATTTATATACAGTACTAACCGCAAGTACAAATGAGCGGAGCTGTATCTCCCCACATCACCCGATAAGGTTTAGCAGATTATTCAAAGCCACTACTTGGAGAAAAAATTAGCGTTAAAGAAAATAATTTCAAAACCCATTAAGCCATGCTACCACAAACATACTTCAACCGTTCTCTTCCACAGACACTGTTAATAACCCAGGAGATGTTCCATTTCAGGAAGATACTATACACATACAAAATTAAGGACTTTTATTTCTTCAAATTCCAGTTATTCCCACTTCTGAAACTTTACAGAAAAACCTCTTTCCCCCTTCCCCCCTTTTTTTTCTTTAATCAGTGCAAACTGTTCCACACATTAGCTAGTGGAAACTAAACTCACTAAGACTTCTTATCATAACTAGCTCCACCAACAGAAGGCACACATAGGGATGGATCGCTCAAGGGCACCAAGGTTCCAAAAAATTCTTTCACTCTTGATCTCTGTGTCGGGGTCTGCACATCTCTGTGCAGATACAACATTTGAATAGGAACATAAGAACAACTAACATTAAGCAGAATTAGAGCTGCCACATGTAAGAACACAACTCACTTCTGCATGACTGTCCTGAAATAATTTCACTTCTCTTCCAGTTAAAATACACTTGGCAACATTCCTTTGCCCTACCTCCCTTCCTCACTCGAGGAGGAGGAAGTGGTGTCCAAGCTGACTCGTAATCCAAAAGGCAGCAGCAAGATCTCATTCTAATTCTGCTCACGCCCGGGGTGGGGTGGGAGAGCCGTGCCCGACCCTGCCTCTGCGAGCAAGAACCCGCGCAGGGCTCCCG